TGGCGGCGTGTCTGGCGCCTTGGAAGTGCGCGCCAGCTGCGGGGCGGGCGTTCATGGGCGACCGCTCGACCGCGGCTCGACCCCAGCACGACCTCTCCACGGGCTTGGCGGCGACGGCGCGCTTCGACGCCGACGTGGGCTTCGATGGGGAACGAGAGCAAGCGCCAGTACTGGTCATATTTGGAATATACCAACGTCACGGAGCACCCCGGCCTCGAAAACGAGCCCGCCCGCGAAGAGGTCCCCATCCGCCCTCGGGGCGGCTGGGCCAAGCTCGAGAAGGGCATCGCCGTCCTGAAAGGCTTTCCTGGCGCCGCTCGGGTTCGTGAAGTCCTCGCGGGAGCCTACCTGGAACCGCTCTGGCTGTGGGCCGTGCCTTCTGTGGAACCCGTTCCTCGAGTATTGATTGGGCTTCTGTTCCGAGCTATCCTGATATCGAAGTGTACGCGGTGGCGTGCTGGCTGTTGGCGGTGCCGACGTGTGAGCCTCCGCCCGCTGTATTCTCCTGCGCTTCAAGCCATGCGCGCGGTGCTGTCGCCGCTGCTTAGTCCATGCCGACACCTATCAAACGCCTTGGCAGCGCGTTTTGACTTGCTGGGGCTGGAGTATGTCTCTCACAGCGCCGACTGGGGCATTCAACTACGAGTCGATCCTCAGGATGACCCGCGGGTGCTCGCTGCCGCAGCTCAGCTCCGAAACGGGTCGCAGGTTGTCTGAGCGAAGTCGCCCGAAGAACAACGCGCAGTTCGTTCCGTTGCTCGGGCCAGGTGTTTGCAACGGATCAATTCCTCAGGTTCACGGGCCAGGAATGATTCTGAAGGAGTTGAAGACATCGATGTGGAGGTCGGCAGTTCAAAGCGCTGGAAAGAGTTCGTGAGCTCGCTGAGCACGGAGCAGTACCAACTTCTCGACATTTTCATGGCAGGAGCTGGTCAGTCGCGCGACCGTGCGTGCGCCATGTTCCAGTGTTCACGTTGTTGCAAGTTCTGTGGTCATTATTTGGTCTTGTCTTCGACACCTCTGGCAATGACGCCCACATTTCAGTGCTCGCCGCGACGACCTGCGGCGAGTTTGCACTACCAGCCTCCTTTTGGGACGACCAGCCTCGGGTCACCAGCAAGAGCGGTTGGATTACCAGGCGGGCGGCGGCGACGCTGGCCGAGCGAGTCGAGATGCAGATCTCGGCGGCCTCGACGGGCATCGAGGTCCTCAAGATCAACTTCGCGCCCTGACCTTCGCCCAGCATGCGGAGGTCTTGCCGAGGTTTACTCCACATGTCGGGTATGTCTCTCACCCCCCCCCCCCAGATGTACACTTGACGGCCGGCAAAGTGCACATCTGTGCGCGGTGGATGTTTCGGACGGGGCGAGCACGTACAGACTGGCACTTCGCGACAGGGGCGGGGCACAGGTCGGGTGCGTCACCGCGCCCCTCGGCTGAGTCAGGGGGCGGGAAGCGCTGAAATTTCTCACTGGCAGCGCCAGGGGGAACCAGTGAACTACGTACAAGACGAGAGACGTAGACTTCGCCCCGCAATCGACGTGAATTCACTAGGCACTAGGCCCAGAACGCCCCACTACATCCCACGATGCGCCCTTCGGTCGCCCCTCGGGCGCCGAGGAAAAGATATACCGGAGAAGACCCGCACCAGTTGTTCGAGCGAAGAATGCAAAAACATCGCAATGGCGCGGGGGTGTCCAATACAACCCCAAACCCATGACGGGCAATTGTTTGGTTCGCGTTGGATGCAGTCGAACCGGCGACGACAATGATTACGACGACAATGGCAACGATGACGACGTGGGGGGTCCGATTGGAAATGGCAACGGAACTCCTGGCTGTAGTTGAGAAAATGGTCGCCTGCGCATGTGGGACATTGGCGCGTCAGCCTGCCTATTGCGGACATGGTTTGCATTGCGGGTACGGCTTGGCTGCAACAGTATTCGCCTGCACACCTCTGTGTAATTTTGGTGGCGCGCCCGATGTCACTTGTAATCGTTGTCTTCGTCTTCTGTTACTGCTACCACGAAGCCCCTCTACGCCCTTCGCCATGACGTTCGCTATCCCCGTGCTCGGTCCTGCCCCTTCCCCTTCCCCCCTCCATTGTCCTCCCCCTAACTCCCCGTGCGCCTCCCCATTGCCCCTCGCGCGCTGCGCGGCGGCGACCGCCCCCTCCCCCGCAGCTGCAAGGCTCGCCCCGCGCTCCTCCTCTCTTCCATTCGCGAGGCAGCGGCCTTGATTCCAGACCGACTTTGGTTAGCGGCATCGAGGCCCCAGCAAACCCGACAAGCGCGATCGCCCGCCTCGAACGGCGGGTGAAATAAAACAGTAAACGATAGGCCAAACTTAGTTTTGATGTTTGGGGGATCCGCGCAGAAAGCTAATCCATCTGCCCAAAACGCACGGCAGGTTCGTGTCGTGCCGACCCCAGCGTTGGTTTTTGACACCGCAGGGATCGTTCAACCTTGAACGATCGGCCGCTGCCGCAACTTGACGCGCCCCGAAGAGTTGCAGTCTGTAACGCGCCCAAACTGGGGGGGAGAAGGAGGGGGGGAACATGGGGGGAGGGCAGAAGGGGAGGGGAGGGGGGAAGGGACAGGGGGGCAGGACAGGGGGAGGGGAGGAGGGGGAGGGGCGGGGGGAAGGGACTGGGGGGGAGGACAAGGGGGGGATAGGGGGAAGGGACGGGGGGAGGAGAAGGGGGGGGGAAGGGAGAGGAGGGGGGGAGAGGGAGGGTAGGATGGGATACGGGAGGGAAGGGGGGGGGGGACAGGGGGAGGGTGAAAAGGAGAAACAGGATTGGAAGGGGAGGAGAGGGGGCATTTGAGGAAGGAGCGGGCAGAGGTTAGAAGAAGATCGAGAGGATCAGCATTGGAAAGAAGAGAGGAAAAGAGGAAGATCGAGGGGGTAGAAGAAGGTCGGGAGGGAAGAAGAATTGGAATACATATACGTGCAAATAACTATGTGGATCAACGACGTAAATAGCAACGAGCCACAGCCTACGCGTCTACTTATCACCATTCTACGGCAAGCACTGTGTCTAAATTCGTATATATGCATAAATACATAACTGCACGCGCGCGCGTAACACACCCAGACACATCACCAGCGACGGAAGCGCCGACGGCGGCGGCGACGACGAAAAGATGGCGGCAGCGACGGCAGCGGCGCTGTGGTCGCCATCGTCGTCATCGTCATCGTCATCGTCGTCGTCGCCGTCGCCGTCGGTGTCGGCGTCTTTGCCATCCGTCGCGTCGGTCAATCGTCAATCGTCGTTGTCGTCATCGCTGTCGCTGTGGTTCAGCATCGTCGCTCGTTTTCGTCATCGTCTCCATCGTCGTCGTCACGGCGTCGCAGACGTCTCCGGCAGCGGCGGCGAGTGAGAGGACGACGAACCAAAACAGTGAGCCCCTCCAGAGCTCTCAAGAAACCCCTGGAATCTGGAATCCCCAGGGCGGCCCCGCGAAAGGCAACGCAACGCATCGAACATCAGGATGCCAGGGCACCGGAATCACAAATGACGGCGACCGACGGCGAAGACGACAACGCGCCGACGACGGCGAAAACAGAGACCGCGAATGTGACGTAAGACGACGACCGACGACGACAACGACGACGACGACGGCGGCGGTCAGCGGCAGCCAGCGGGCGTCGACGCCACGACGACTGCGAAACGCAATGGCTGACGATCCAACGGCGGTTCCTGACGCCGCGAGGCCGTTCAACCTTTGACGACCGCACGCGTCCGAATCGCCAGATCGTTCGTGGCCCAACGGGCAGCAGCGTTCAACTTTGAACGCCTGGGCCCGCGCTGAGGTCGCCGCCGCGCCAAGGCAAATCGAATCGGCCACCCCGCGACGACGACAAGCGCCGCGACGACGAATGACGACTGACAACGACGACGACAACGACGGCGGCAGCAAAGGCGACGGCGGCCGGCGGCGGATGGCGACGATGGCGACCCGCGGCGGCGGCGACGATAGACACGAAAACGACAACGACGACAACTACCGTGGCCCCCCTCAAGGAGAGGAGAGCGCTCATCGCTCGTCGCCGCGGCTGGATCCGCTTTGAAACCCTGGTCGGGACGCCCCCCCCCGGCGCGCCAGAGACCAGAGACCACGACGATTGCGGCGACGACTGCCGACGATCTCGCATCATCCATTTCATATGTTTGAATCCTTCCTTCTCCTCCTCCTCCTCCTCGTCCTCTTCCCCCTCCTCCTCCGCGTCCTCTCCTCCGCTCCTCCTCCTCCACCAGTCCTCCTCCCCCCATCGCCGCCGTCTGCCCGGTCGCCCCTCATCCCTCTCTGACGCTTCTCTGTCTCACCGCGCCCCTCGCGGCCTCGAATCTGGCGGGGCGGCCGTCGCCAGCGAGCGCGCGAGCTCGGAGCTCAATCTCGCAGGAGAAAAAAAGCTAGCTACACCTCAACACTGCGGCACTGCGATCGAGCGGAAGAAGAGGGCTGAGGAGGGAGGCGGGATGACGCGGAGGCGGACGACTGAAGGCGAAGGGGGAGACGAGGGGCGACGTGGAGGTGGGAAGTGGAGCAGGGCAAAGGAAGGGTCGGAAGAGGAAGCTGACCGCTCGAGCCGTGGGCTCGACTCGCTACACTAGTTGCGACAGCTGTTGCAGCTGCCGCGCTCCACATGCCTGCCTCCACCCTATCGCGTTCGACCCCCCCGTGGCCAGCTTTCTCCCCTCTGAGAAAGCAGGGGAAACGTCGCACATGCACGCGCCGCGTCCGAGGTCCGCGCGGGCTTCGGATCGGCGCTGGGCCCCGGCGCCCTGAAGCGCCTCGGGCGGGCCGCGAAATCCGCGAGGTCTTCCAACGACGACGCGTGAATGCCGACGGTTCCCCTACTGCAACTATCGCTCTGAAGCTCGCGGGCCCCCGCTGCAGCATAGGCAACGCCCAGGCGCGAGCACAGGGAAAAGCGGAAAGGGCGAAAAGAGAGAAAAGAGAGGGAGCGGAGCGAGCGCCCAAGCTGCCAGAGGCCTAGCCGCCAACCTGGGCGGCCCCGCGGGTGGCCTTACCGCCGCCCTTCATTTTCTGGATCTCCCTGCCCATGTACTCAACGAGCTGTTTGGGCAAGTTGGCGCCCGCCGATTTCTTCTGCAAGCCCTCGAGGAGGCCCAGGCGATCCTTCGCTGCCGCGCCTGGGATCGTCACCAACACCATCTTCGAGAACGAGATCACGCCGATGAAAGTGCGGCCCGACGACAGGGCGCGACCCGCCGTAGCGGCCGCGCTGTCGCACTTGCTCTTGAAGCCACCGCCCGCCACTGCATGGTCAAACGTCGCGGCAGCATTCAGGAGTTTCGACAACTGCGCCCACGCTTCAGCGAAGCTGTCCCAAGGTACATCCACCAATTCCTTCTTTACTGTCTCACCATCCCACTTGGTAACTACGTATTCTTCGTATTTCGGAATTTTGCTTAGGAGGCCCTCGGCGACGCGCTGCGCAGACGCCGCCAGAGCTCCGACGGACTTGGCGACCAGCATTTTGGATGCCTCTATGGCCCCCTGAACCTCCTTGACCATCTGGCAGTGGGCGATGCGCGGCATCCCGTAGATGGCAAGCCCATCGCGGAAGTTGTCGAAGTTGAAGCCGCTCTGCGCGCTGATGCAACCCTGAGCTGTGCTCAGCTTGGACACAGCATTGCACAGCGTGAACCACGTGGACGCGAAGTCCCCCTCGACGTGCCCGACGATGCCCAGATCGGCGTCCGTGGCGACCTGCGCGTGGCGAGCAAAAGCCATGCGGACGGAGAAGAGTTGCCAGAAGATGGTCACCGCCGTCGCTAAGGGGGTCTTGCCCAGCGCGTTCAGCAAAGTCGCGACCTCCTCCACGACGGGCGCGACGCTGACCAACTTCGCCTTGACCCGAGTCTGCTCGGCTGCCAACTTCGCCACGGCCTCGAGGAAGGCGCCGCCCCCAGGCATGAAGACCAACTCCTCCCTCCCGGGATTGTCGAACAAGTCCTGCGAGGCGAGCAACTGCCCCAGCTGGCAGTCAGCCCGCCAGCCGCCCCGACCCCAGGCAGCGCCCTCAAGGATAGCAGTTGGCTCATCGGGCCTACCGCAATCCCCGAGGGCTCAACCTCGGGTCGGACCGACGGCCGACAGACAACTTGGCCTTGGGGCACTTGCAAACGGGAAACCTGCAGGTACTGCTTGTCGGCGTCCATGATCAGCTCCATGATCTCCTGCATCTTCGGGCCAACGCAGGCGCCTTCGTGCTTGCTGAGAAGGTCCCTGCCCTTCATGCCGAAAGCGATGCATCCTTCCACTTTGATGGACTTCTGGCGGCAGAACTCCTGAACGGTGGTCTCCATGAGCTTGCCGGCGCTGGCAATGGTGACGGCAACCTCCTCCAGCACCGCGACGTCGGAAGTCGAGACCGCCCCGCTTGCAATATTCCTGATCGGGCTGTTGCACACGTCAAGCATGCTCGCCAAGATCACCTTCTCCATGGTGCCATCGCCCTTGTGCAGCATGTAGGACGTGGACATCGGGGCCGTCAAGGGCTGCCGGATGTTGTTCTCCAGATGGGCCTGTGGCGGCCTGTTGCCATCGCCGCTGAGCTCGCCGTTCACCAGGTCGTTCACGAGATCGCTGATCTTAGACACATTGCTGATGAAGAGCTCGCGGAAAGATTGCAGGTGCGCCTCGTCCTGCAATGGCCGAGTCGCTCGTCTGGCTAGCGCCCTTCACCCCTCCCCCACTGATGTCACGAAAGCTCGCTGCCAGGAAAAACAACTGCCCCAGGACTGCAACAATCCCAGGGCAAATCTGTCTCGAAAGAACAAAACCTAAACTAAATTCGGAGCCAGACGAGTCCTCAAAGCCTGTAGCCGCGAGCTCAGCGTCCAAGCGAACGATGGCCTCGATCGCGATCGAAGTGGCGCCTGCCTGCAAGAGCGCGGTGACGCGGGCCGCGCTCTGCTCCCGATCGCCGATCTCAGCAGCAACCTCCTTCAAATACTTGAGCATCCTCGTGCCAGCCCCAGTTGCCGTGATGGCCTTCGCGATCTCGTCCGCGCCCCGGCCAAGCTCGAGCAGCGCGTCGTTTGCCTGGGCCAAGTTCCCGCCGTAGCCCTTCACGTTGAAGACCACTCGGAGCGGCTGGATGAGATCCCCGACGCCCTGATGCAAATCGAAGGCGAAGGATTCCACTGACGCGAGAAGGAAGCACTGGACCCACGAGACATGCGCGGCGACGTCCTTCGGGGCCTTCGCATCGCGGTGGGAGACCAAGCCCAGCAGAGCATCTCCGATGCGCTCCTCGCGGCACGAATCGGGGAGGGAGGAAGGGGGGGAGGGGGGGTTGGACCGAGGGGGGGAGGAGGGAGGAAGAGGAGAAGGAGGAGGAGGAGGAGGAGAAGGAGGAGGGAGGAGGAGGAGGAGGAGGAGGAGGAGGAGGAGGAGGAGGAGGAGGAGGGAGGAGGAGAGGGTGGACTCCTCCTCCTCCTCCTCCTCCTCCTCATCCTCCCTCCTCCTTCTTCTCCTCCCTCTCCCCCTCCTCCCTCCGACTCCTTCCCGTCGTTGACAGTCGTCGCCCTCCGACGTCGCCGTCGCCTACTAAGGTCCCTCTGAAAGTCGGCCATCTCGTCTGACTTGAAGAGACGGCGGCACTTCGCCATACTGATGAGGCCCCACCGCGCCATCATGCCGCCGACGTTCCCCGCGACAGCCTCCTCAACAATGCCCATGATGAAGGAGGCCTCGACAATGCCCTGCTCCACGCACAGCGGCACGTCAAGCTGCACAACGGGGTGCTCATTCGAGAACTTCTGGATGTCGGCATATTCGTCCATGAACTCCGCGTTGTCCGCCTTCTTGACCCACTGCTTGTAGCACTTCACGACCCTGCCGGACATCTCCGTCAACTTCAGGACCGCTGCGACCTCGTTCTGGAGCTCCCTCTTTCGCAAGAGCCGAACCTTCGCTGACAGGCTGTCTGTGATGGATTTCACGGCCTTGAAGTGTTTCTTGTCCAAGCTCAAGATGTGGGCCCTCTGGGGCCGACAGATCTCCTCGTGGCTGTCTCGCAACTTGCTCGCCTGCCTCTTGGCGTCGCTCTCGGCCCGATCGGGCGGCCCCCCGTCCACGACCACGGCGGAGGTGCCTCTGCGAGCGGCGCCCGCCCTCCCACTGCTGGCCCCGCCGCTGCCGCTGCCGCTCAAGGACGGCAGTCCGCCGCAACTGGCCTTGGCCTTCGCCTTGGCCTTGTTGCCTTTGGCCCTCGCGCCGCCAGCGGCCGCCTCGGCGCTACGCTGAGTGCCGCGGGAGGCCGTAGAGGCGGCGTCGTCCATGATGACGTCGAAAATGTCCAGGCCCATGTCGTCGTCGGGCTCGGCCGCGGACGACTCACCGCCGCCATCATCATCACCGCCGCCACCTCCACCAGCGGCGCCGACTGTTGTAGACGCCATCTTGGGAACGCTGGTAGGCTCCACCGGCGGGGCGACCGGCTGGGCAACGCCGGCGATCTGGTTCCTCGCCTGGTTGTTCTGCACGTCCGCGTAGATGCCCCCCACCACGTTGTCGCCGTCCACCCCCTCGCCGTCGTGAATCTCCTTCTTGCATGCGAACCCGCTCGAGGTGTACCACTCCATGTCCATTTCATCGTCCGGGGTAGTCGGGATGATGACGACGTCCCTGAAACGCCACCCTCTCCTCAACGAATCGCAGGCCCCCTGAGATCGAACGACGCCCTCCAAGCCCGCCCGCCGCCGCGGGGGGGGGGGCTGAAAGAGGAGAAGCAGGGCGAGGAGGAGTTGGAGGGGGAGGAGGGAGGAGCAAAGGAGGAGAAGGAGGCTGAGAAGGATCGGGCGATCCAATCGCTGAATAGCCCCGCGGGCGGGGCTGAAGGGCAAGGCGGACATCAGGGGGCCTGTGAGATGAAGAAGGGTGGCGCGTCGTCTCATAAGAGAAACCTCATGGAACCGTCCTTCCATTTCTGCCGAGTCTTCTTGTGGCCGAGCCCGTTGGCCAACGGGTCGCCATGGTCTGCGACGTAGGACTCCAGGAGCTTCGCTTTGCCCTTCACGAGGCCCTTCACCCCAGTCTCCTTGACCTGATCCAGCGTCTCTCTGGGCGCAGCGCACAAATTCTTCAACGTCTTGTGGCCGGCCTTGTAGTGGGCGATGACGTCTGTTATCCACTGGTGAAAGCGGTCGTACTCGGCCTTGCACTCAGACAGTAGAGCGTTCACCTGCGAGATTGCCTTGGTCGGGTGCAATTTCTTCTTGGCGCAGCCGCAGTACGCGCACGCGCAGCCCTGGAAGTCAGGCTCGTCCCATGCACGGCATCGGTTCGGATCCAGCGGATCTGGAGACCCCATCTTGGCGTTGCACGTGTGGCATGATTTCAACATCATCTTCTGGCTGGCGGCGCCGAACAACTCCTCGCACTCGCTGAGCAGGGGGCCGACGACGCCGATGCAAAAGACTGCTGTCGCCCCGGCGCCCTCGGCAGCCGCGGACAAGACAACCTTGCGCCGCTTCGGCGCACGGGGCCGCGCGTGCTCGCCCTCGGTCGAGCCCTTGCCCCTCGTTTCCCCGTCTGCGAGGTCGATCAGAAGCCCGATATCATTGTTGCTCGCCGCGCTCACGGCATCAAGCAAGTCCGCGGCCATGGCCGCGCTGGCAGCCGAGAAGCCCAGGTTGGAAATGCAGGTCGTCAGCGCTGCTGGAACGCCTCGCAGCGGCGCGCGGCGCCGCGGGTACCTTGGCACCCTCGCAAACAGTTCGAAGCCAGAATGGCTTGACGCAAGCAAGGCGGGGGAGGGTGGGGGCCTTGAAAGCGGGGTGAGCGGGTCCCTCTACGCGGTGGACTTCCTACAAGAAGGGTCCGCTTTAACCGTGCATATTTGCGCATCAACCACTGCGCTACATTAAAACACTAACACGAAAACGCTGCACTAAAACATTTGACTACAACACTACACCAAAACACTACACGCTAATACACTACACTAATACACGACACTAAAACACTACACTACAACACTACACCAATACACTACGCATATACACTACACGAACACTAATTCAATTCTTGGGAAACACCGCTTCGCTTGAGACGTCCTCCCAAAATCAAACCCCGACGTCCAACGCGCGCAAAACGCACTGTCACTGAACCCTCTCTCTCTCTCTCTCTCTCTCTCTCTCTCTCTCTCCCTCTCTCAACACACAGAACAAACAACACAAGACTTACAGCGCGCAGAACGCGCAACGCACACGGAACACGCGCACGCACGCGCAAACCACACATCACACCAACTAAGCCGCACGCACGCAAAACGACGCACACACAACACATCTAACACTATACCCACACCCCGCACGTATCACACAACACAGTAGAACCAACAAGTATAGTGTAGTATATATATATATTTAGTGGAAGCGCATGAAAATAATGTATTGCGTCGTCTACTAGTTTACTGTATCAATGTAGTGTCTTGCTGTGTATTGGTGTAGCGAACTCGTGTAGTGTATTAGTGTAGTGTATTTGTGTAGTGTAGACGTGCAATGTTTTCGTGTGGTGTAAGAGTGTAGTGCGTTAGTGTACTGTATTAGCGTAGTCTTTTCTGTGGAGTGTATTTGCGTAGTGTGATTATTAATGTAGTGTACTAGCTTAGTACTGCCTTTATTTGTGTCGTGTATTCGCTTACTGTATTCAGTGTAGTGTATGAGTAAGAGTTTAGTGTACGATTGTAATGTATTAGTGTAGTGTATGAGTGTTATCTATTAGTGTCGTGTATTAGTGTAGTGTATTAGTGTAATGTATTAGCGAAACTGTATTAGTAATGTATAAGTGTGTTAGTGTAGTGTATTGGCGTAGTGTACTATTGTAGTGTGTTAGTATCAGTGCAATGTATCCGCGCAGTGTATTAGCGTAGTGTATTCGTGTAATGTATCAGCATAGTCTATTGGTATTTTGTATTAGTGTAGTGTATTACTATAGTGTATTAGTGTAGCGTATAAGTGTATTGTGTTTTGTGTAGTGTATTAGCGTTGTATAGTAGTATGGTGTGTATTATAATGTGTGACTATATTGTCTTAGTATAGCGTTTCAGGGTAGCGTTTTCGTATGGCGTTGTACTATCGTGTGTTACTGTAGTGATTTGGCATGGTGTTTAAGCATACTGTATGCATGGTCAACCTCGTTTTATGCACGGTTAAGGTTACCCGTTCTTACGCCCCCCACACCACGCATGGCGACTCTCAGGATTTGCTTGAACATCCGAAACTCTGCTGGGGAGAAGGGGGCCAAGTGCACATGCCCCCACGCATGCAGAGACGCGAGAGACGACCTTCGGCGGTGAACTCACGCGGGGGGGCGCGCCCCAATGTCCCAAGAGACCCATGCGCGTCGGGCGGCCCTCGGGGCTGACGAGATCACCGTGGCCAAGGCGGGCAGCTCGCGCCGGGGTGGCTGTGGCGTCGCGACGTCATCAGTGACACGTCCAATCCCTGAGTTGTAGACATGGGGCTTCGAGCGTGCGACGACGCGACAGAGCTGGAGGGCAGGCGGGCCATGCTACCGAGAAGCCCAAACGGCGAAATTTCAGCCCCGCCGCTGCCACGCAAGCTGACCCCCCACCGACCTTCGGGCGCTCATCCCCCGCGCGGAGAGGGGGGGGAAGGGCGCGAGGAGAGGAGAGGGGGAAGTGATTTCAAAGTGAAAAGGACGTATCAACAGCCGCAGAGGTCGGTGGGGGCGAGGGGCGGAGAAAGGGCGAGAGCTGGTACATGACGGGGTGCTGGGACCTCCGATCTCCGAAGCGGGCGTCCAACAACTGCCATTCCGCGAAGCCCAAACACCCTTCATCGGCAAGCCTCGGACTCGCGCGAGACGCGAGAGAGAAGAAGGATGGGGGAGGAGGAGAAGAGCAGAAGGGTAACGAGAGAAGGGATGAGGGGGAGGGTGACGGATGATGGTTCTGATGATGATGATTATGATGATGATTGCGATGGTGGTTGCGATGAGGAGGAGGAAGAGGACGACGAGGAGGGCGCGCGAAGGCATGACGAGGAGGGGGGCGGAAGAGGAGGACGGGGAGGCAAAGGGCAGGAGGAGGGGGGAGGAGGAAGAGAGGAGGAGGGATCGGCCCACGACGCAAGTCGCCACTGCCACGCGAGGGACGTCGCTCTTTCATCATTCCGAGCGAACTACTTGCCATCCCCTCCCTTCGAAAGAAGAACCCTGCTGGCATCTGGCATAGGGCGACGGGCGACGTCCAATGGCTGGCTGCCAGCGCGACAACGGTCCCCCTCTGCCCTCTGCCGGGCGATCAAACTAAATTCAGCTGCGCAAGCTGCCAAACGCCGAGATGCGATATAGGCCAAGGGTCGACGATAGCCGACCAGCCAGACACCCCGCATCACGGAAGACCTTGAAGACGGAAGATCCTGGTGCCCACTGGAGTGCCTACCATGCCCCGCATGGAATGATACCTACCGTGGACCCTGGACCGCTTGGCAACAGCAGCGACTGGCGACTGGGGAGCGTCTGAGGCCCCTGCGCACCACGCAAAAAAGAAGCCGATAATACTGATGGCAGGCCGCGCTGACATTCTGAATCAACTCGGGCCGCCCTGGCCTTGTCGCAAGCCTGTTTGCTCCCCTACCTCAACCTGCCCCACTGCACTACCCCGTCTGTCCTCTCCTCCCACCTCCCCCCCACCCTCCCTCGAAGGGCGGGCGCGGGCAGCCTGCCTGCCTGAGGGGCCGATGGGGGCCGCAGGGCGAAGCGCGCGCTGGCAGCCTGGCTGGCGCCGCGGCCAAAAGATGCGCAGATGTCCTGCAGCTCGACACCTACGCCCCGGCGCCCACGACCGCGTCCGAGAGCTGCTCGTGGCGGATCGTCTCGTCGCCCAGCGCCGCCTGCGCGACGCGGGCCAGGGAACTCGAGACAGCGAGGTGCGCTGATAATGCGCCAAGTGGCGGGGTCTCGCTTCAACTTTGCAACTGCGGCATCGGCCTGGGCGCCGACGATGGCCATTAGCTTCGATTGGGGCGGGCCTCGATGCAGCCTCGGCGGGGCTAAAACCTCCAAACTCGATTCGCATGAAGAGCGGCTGTAAGCCTGATTCGAATTGCGGCGGGGCCGAGATTTGACTGTGCTTCGGAACTCCGGAAGGGCAACCTGTTCCTCCTCCTCTTCCTCCTTCTCCTCGCCCTCCGCTCGCTTCCTCCTCCTCCCCCATCGCCCTCATCCTCCTCCTCCTCCTTCTCCCAATGTCCGAACATAAATCTCATCTTAATGTCCGGGCGTTGCTGAAGCGCAAGGGCGGGGAGAGAAGGACGTGATGGGAAGGGCGAAAGGGGCGACAGTGAAGGGCTAAGAGGGAGGGGGGCGGCTGGGGGGAGGAGGGCGAGGAGGGGGCGGGACAGTGAGGAGGAGGAGGAGAGGGCCCCAACAAAAGAAAAGGAGGAGGAGGAGGAGAAGGGGAAGGAAGGCGGAAAGGGGAAGGAAAAGAAAAGGGGCGCACAATGCGGTCGGAAGGAGCAGGAGGAGGAGGAGGAGGCGAGGACAAGGAGGAGGAGGAGAAGGGGGAGGGGAGGGAAGGAGGTGGACGTGGAGGAGGAGGAGGAGGAGGGGGGATGAGGAGGAGGAGGAGGAGCATCAGCAGCAGTCAGAACGGGCCCGCGCCTTCACGGAGCCCTGCTGCACCATCGAGCGGTAGTTGTCCACCTCAGGCATGGGGAACGTCGCGAAGGTCGAGAGAACGAAGGCGGCCGCCGTGTGCGCGTTGAAGGCGTTGCCCGCCAAGTCGTTCAGCTCGGAAACCGAGAAGGGGCTGAGGCGCTCGTATGTGAACAATGGGAAGCCTTGCACAGCCAAAGCCTCGGGCGGCACGAGGAGGCGGAAGCGCTTGCGCAACCGCAGCTTCCCTTTCGGGGTGACGCACGGAACGCCGTTCCACAAGATCCCGTTCCTCCCGAGCGTCTGCGAGATGTCCACGACATGCTCCCTGGGGTCTGACTTGGCCAAGCGGCCGAACTTCAGGTCGTGGAACAGGATGACTTCCTGCTCGCGTCGGGGCAGGGAGCTCATGGTCTTGCTCTCCTCCTCGCTGTAGCGAAGGCACATTGCGACTGGGTACCTGAGGCCGTGCTCGCGGAAGATCTGGCGGTGAAGGTCCGGCCACTCTTGCTCCCTCTTTCCCCTCTTCGCCGGGGGGTCGTCGAATTCGAGGATCTCCGTCTCGAGGGGCGCGCTGTCACTGTCGATGAAGGGGCCTTTGTCGCTGACCTCTTTGAGCCAGCTGTTCAACTCGAAAGAGTCCTGAGAGTCTGAACGAGGGTGGACTCCTCCTCCTCCCCCTCCGCCTCCTCCTCCTCCTCCTCCTCCTAGGGTGGGCTCGTCGAGGAGGTGGAATCCACCCTCTCCTGAGGCGTAGTGCATCCAGGGGAAGAGCACGCGGCGCGAGAGCAGCGGGAGCGAAGAGGAGCAGAGGGAATGATGGAACAGAGCAGATAAAGAAGAAGACGAGAAGCCCTTGACGGAGCAAGACGCGACTTCGCAGACCGACCGAGGTCCTCCTGGAGCAGGATGTCCTCGATGATCGCCGGGTCCATCTCGACGCGCGCCAACGTCTGCAGCATCTGCACCTTCTGCGGCATC